TCGCCGAATGCTGTCAGGCCCCCGCCTAAAAATATAATATTGAAATCAATATTATTTTATTGTTTATATTTTTATGGAATCTACATTAAAAAGATTATGACATAAATCTTTTAAAAGATTATCGTATAATATATATATATATATATATATGTATATATATATATATATATATATATAATCTATTTTATTTATTAATATTATATCATATATTAATCTTTGATAACATCTTCTGATTTAAATAGCAAAATGCTACGATAAACTGTATGTAGAAACAAATTTTAATATGATATTTTAATATTATACATATATAATTTTTTTTAAATATGACTACAGTTTCAGAAAAAAAATTGATCAAAGATATTTTATTTATAATAATTTTTATTGCAATTTAATTTTTTAACTATACTTATGGATTCATGAATCTTTATGAGATTAAGTTCGCAACTTTCAGTTCTGTTCATTCTGAAGAAGATGTTTATTCCAAACTTGCATCTAATTTACCATCTTCATCGTCGTCTTCCACCGACGAACTTTTCGCCCATGGAGTGTTGCAAGTGTGTGTTAGTGTAAGGTACCGTACACCCAGCTGGTAAAGTGTTCTTAAAACGGCTAAACTACTTCCTAGACTATGCCCACCCTCCACTCCAATCAGAGAAGCTATTCTGCCTCTCCCGTGAGCCTCCAAAATCTCTAGAAGTTAGAAATATAATTGAATGCAGAATATTGTCACTCTGTCGATCGCAGTATATTATTTTCGAGCATTCTACGTCTCGCATTATGGTTAGCTGCACTTACCCCTCGACGATGCAGCGAACTGCAAATGCTGGGAATATTTTTCTATGAGCCTCTTAATGAGGTCCACCTGTTCCAGAGTCAACTGAACCGCGTTAAGATGTTGAGATTCACACGGTACGTAAGCAGCCCAAAACTAGAAAAAAAAATTATTATATATAATTGTCGGAAAAGATTGCGCAGGTAGTTGGGAACGATTATATTTCTCTCGTATATTTAAAGAGAAATACGAAAAAATCCCAAGAAAAGCGTGAAAAATGTGGCATACTTTTTATGTCCTTTTTATTTTCTTAGAGAAAAATATATTTTTAATTGAAACATATATTTCAATTTACATTTACCGAAAAGATCACAGATTACTTAAGGTGACAAAATATTTCTATATTATAATAATATAATATTTTGCAATATATGTTGCATATCTATACACAATAATGTCATAAATATGCAAAAGAATGTAATTTCCGGTTGCAGTTATGCAATTTTTCTCTTTACAAAAAAGAATGCTGGAATTCGCAATGTTGTTTGTATTTAAAAACATTGTTTTATCTTATGAATTCATATAACTCCTCGTATAATTGTTGCATTTTATTAAAATGACATTTTTTCCTCATTATTCTTGAGCTAGAACAAACATAGTGTTTTTATTTTGAATTTCACTGACATGACAAGCAAAAAGATTCAACAAGATTATTATAAATCTTATTCATTATTCTTGGTATACAATATCTATTTTCCTTTAGATCATTTCTACAATATATGTGTGCGCGCAAGCATGATACGCGCTTAATGCTCGCATCATTCAGACCTAACGAGCTCCTGAGTGCTTGCATGCGACGATAATCGATGCATTCAATCCGTCACGCTCATAATATCGCCGACACCTGAAACTCGTCTAGTCATCTCCAGTACGGTTTCCGTGAAATATCCGAGTCTAGATTGCTTATTACATTGCATAATAATGCAATTTGGTTTTTGAACGTGTTTTTTGTGCAGGTTAAATATCAAGAAAGATTACATATCAGGAGACACGGTAATGTCTCGGACGTCAAGTTAAAAATACACTTAATTATACATTTCAATTCTGATTATAACATCCAGAAAAAAAATATTCTGCCATTTAGTGCTGCTGTGTTAATATCAGAGGATTTTCTATTTATATACGACCTCAAGAAGATATTCTACAAAGTAAAGGAATTTCATATAACCATAAAGTACTGGATTTAAGATTGCAATCCTCTTAATGCTAGAATATCTTGCATGTACTGGCATGCACGTGTACTACGATAGCACGTAAATGACAAACTTCTAACAAATAAGCGTGCCGCTAATATCTTGTATATCCTCTTTAAAAGGTTATTCGAATATTATAATAGAAAAAAAGGTTAAATAGAAGAAAAGGTTATTATAATAGAAATTTCTGTATAGAGGAATTTATTTTTGATCATGGCTCATTTTTATAGATGAATACGTATTACCAATACACACGCTTGATTTATGTAAGATTTTCTGTTTAGAGAAAATACTAAGAGAAATTCCCTTATCTGCTTATCGGCAGAATATTTTTTGGAGGAGGAGGGGGAGGGGTAAATAATTATGAATAAAGATTAATAATCTATTTAAAGTTTTGTCTAAAAAATGTTGACTCCAAAATTTCTATCGAAGAATATTATCAAGACTAAATTTAATTATTATATATTATTTGGTTTTGATATCCTTTTGCAATTACCTGACCGCCGACCATGCCTTGTCGCAATCTGACCAGATCGGTCTGACTCCAAGCGCTTTTGCTCCAAGGCGCGACTTGACGTAGATCCCTGTCGAAATCGAACTCCGCCAACTGGTTGTGAAGGAAATTGCGGATGTTCCACGGTAAGTCATTGTGGCCGTCGATCAAAGGCACCTCAGAAAGAACCTGTCGAACGGTTTCCAATCGCTCACGTGGCGATGTCAGAAGCGCGAGCTCTCCATCTGCTGGACGTGGCCCGACTCTGCCCACCCAGGTGCCAATCGACAGTATAATCACGCTTACTATCCATACACCACTCTGGCCGCCACTCTGCAATAGATAATCTTCCTTACATATTCTAATTGTTTAGAAGATAAAGGTAATAATTTATAGAAAGATTAAATGTAAGGTATGGATAAGCTTTTTTTATCAATAAAATGTACAATATACAAATTTTACTTTAGTTAAAATACAATTAATCAGAAATGCAATTGCTTATTAGAAAATATGACGTAATACTAATTATTAATTAGTTAATTGTAACGAAGTATATAAATATTGCATTTTTATTATTTTCACAACTATTATGTAGCATCGACTTTGGACATTGTATAAAAGCTTTTGGAATGTAAATCCTACATATAGCCACGTGTGTGTGTGTGTGTGTGTGTGTGTATGTTATCAGAGTCAAAGAGACTTTTTTGGAGCAGTTTGTCAAATGAATTGTTCAGCGGAAAAATAAATGACTTCAATGATGACACAAAACGATTTAACACTAAGCTATAGAAGTTTTTTTTATACATGTATTTAATATAGCATACGCGAGAGTGTTATTCTCGCGGGATTACCTCGCATAATGAAGATAGACCGAAAGGGAAGCAACACGAGAAGAAGATAGTAATAGTAGTGTACATAGCTCGCCCATTGTTTCCGCACCTTGTACTCTTTGAGGTCGATGACCTCAGAAACGAGTGGTATTTTCGAGAAAGAGATGTGCAGCTTTGACAGAGAGATTATAAATTATTAAGCCTTGCTCATCCAAGCGATGCCGGTGGATGTTTGCTTGTCGCCGAGATTTGAAATTTACGAGAATGAAACAGTGAATTATTTCTCAAGTAAGGTATCAAAGCTGCTCATTTTCTAAGGCCTTCGCCTTTGCCAGCAAGGTAACTTGCGAATATGGAGGAAAATCGTATACGATGGTCGGAGTTTAATCTTTGCCGCAAATAATCTCTACCAGTATAGAACGAACCATGGTACTTTCCCATATTGTATGATTATATGAAAGAGTCATGTAGATAAAGCATATCCTTTGTTCCGTGCATTATTCTGTTTACGAGATTGTTGAGCGAAAGAGAAAACACGCTCGCCTCTGACGTAAATTCTTTGGAAAAATGATTGATGATTTTTTCTTTCTCAACTGATGATTGATTATGGAAACAATTTATTTATCATGCAACATTTACATTGAGAATTTATATGTATAATCTGTCATGAAACATTACATTTTTGATAAAATCATCACTTGGCTGAATGGAATTCGTCAATTTTTAAAAAGAATAAACATATTATAAGCTTTTCTGCTCATTTCTACTTTTATATTTCTGAATTTTACGCAACGGGATTGAATAGCTCAAATCAAAAGTACATACATAAAAGGTTCAATTGTACCGGAAAATATCCACTGCCAAGAACCAAGAGATTCGTGTACAAGAGGGATTAGCTCAGCTCGGTGCTAGTCGTGTACAAAAGAACGAGAATTACTTGAGTGCTGAGCAATGTCGTTTAACTATATCCACTGCCCGACCAAACGACGACCCGCACTACTCGTTGACCGCGGGAATGCGGTTCGTTCATACTCGGCTGGCCATACACGTCGCTTTCTGCACAGGCTGGGGTTCTGAAAGCCTCGGCGTTGTTTGAACTTCCGATGGTCTTACAGAAATATTTGCACGAAGCTAACTTTAGTTGGCAATAATCATTACGGAATTTGCGGCTCATCACGTCGTATTTTTAAAATATTTTATGACATTATTAAATAACTGAATAGTTTCATCAAAGTGAACCGTATTATGTAAACAATATTATTTTCCCAATCGATAATTATCAAGAATTTTTGCAAGAAAATAAATTGAAACAAAATTTTTGTTTTTTTTTATAGAAAAATAACTTGATTTTTAGATAGATCGAAAATTTATATGCAAATTATAGTTTATTTATTTAAAAAAATTTTTTTTGTTATTAAAACATTTTTTTACAAGAAGACATTTCCAGAATTCCAATTTTGCTCTAAAAATTTCGTTTAAATATCAATTGATTACCCGTGTAAAATAATAATATAATGTCATTATTTGAAATGAGGAATTTTTATTTTCGTACATTACATGTATTTAATAGAGCAGGCAAAATATACCGAAATGAGATATAAATTCACTGACGTAACGTACCGCTTGATGATTAATGAATAGGAAGTGATTTAGTGCCATGTGAACGATATTGTTGAAACCCTACACCTACCGGTTCGAACGACGATTATACGATCGTTCGCTTCTATAGACGATTGATATTGAACCGAATCTATTCAGTTGCACTGAATAGTAACGTTACATTCGTCGCATGCGTCACGCTTAGCTTTCACCATTAACTACGAGTCGATATTGGTTTTCGCTTTTGAAATAAATTTTCATAATCTCGTGCTCAATCCGGCTTCTTCTATGATGAATAATTAGTATAAATAATTTCATCCGGTCTTTACTTTTTAGATTATATCGTTGAGTTCAATTAATGTTACTTCAAAGTATATATGTATAGACGATGAGAAGATTAGAATGTAACAATATAAAGCTTTTTAAGATTATTGAAATTATTTAAAAAAACTTTAGATTATTTTACTTTTTTCCTAGAAGTGTATCTTTTTTAAATAACAATATGATAGGCATTTGAAGAGATAATAATATACGATTTATAATATGTATAAATGCAAAACAGTACTGAAATATTTATCATTGAGAATTATTATTCGAGAGGAACTTGAATAGCTATTATCAAAATCAGAAGACCATTAAAATTCTGCATTAAGCAGTACTTATCACAACTGCATTTTTATTTAAAAAATTGGAAAATATATACATTTTGCATGTGAGCTTATAGTCTACCGTTAATATTCTTGAGTATGGAAGCGGAAGTGCAGAAAGAAGTTGGAAAAAGAGGCGGCAAGAATACTAGAGAAAGTCTTAAACTGGCTTGCATCCAAAATGTCAACTGTAATAAAAGACCGTATTAAAAGAGTACAGTCGAGGTCATTGAATGTGCTCAGTGCATGCATCGATATTTTCGAAGATTTAATCTATGGAGTTATTTACTAGGTCAGTCGATTTTGTTTATTGCTATCACGGTACAAATCACTGAATTTTATTAAAAAGATAGTATTTTGTTATTTTGACGATTTTTGTTACTTTTACGTGTATCGATGAATAGATAAATATATCTGTCTGTGAATTAGAATTGAACATTATTATTTATCGTAATTATTTCTACTCGATTAATATTTTGATGATATAAAAATTATTTTAAAAATTCATTTGTCGCTCATGTTCCGCTATTTCGTATGAATTGATAATTTGATCCTATCTAACCCACCGAATGAGGGACTGCAAAGGGTTAAATTGGGTGGTCGATTCGATATTCCGTGCTCGTATTGGGAGCCGCGATATTGCTCGTTTCATAATTAACGCGTCAATTTGGCGATCGACCGTTTGCCCATAAAAAAGCAACGTGCCGCATGCGATTTAAGTTGTAACCCGAATTCTAATGATCTTCCTGATGTAAAGAAGATTTTTAGCTTTCCAATGCGCACTGATGTTCGCACATGAATTTCTCAGAACAATTGCGTAATGTACGATATGATATTGAAAGCGTGGTTTAGGTTTAGGTTACACGAGTATCTATGCACAACGTCGTAGAACGCTGTACGTTATGAACGGGGAACATCGTTACATTCGTTATTCAAGTGCTTGAACTACATAGGCGAGCTTCAAAAGGGGTCATGCGAGGCAAACTGGGTTTCGCGGCACTTTTAAGTTTCACCAGGAATATCCTACGAGCGAGCGAGAGAGAGAGAGAGAAGCAAGGGAAAAATTACTTTGTAGCTTCACTTCCCGGGGGACATCGTAACGTTTGAAATTGCACGGTAGCGGCGCACGGCTCTCTCTCTCTCTCTCTCTCTCTCTCTCTCTCCCTCTCTCTTTGTCTGCCACTACGGGTGAACTCAAAAAATTCTAAAAAAACAATCGGAGACTCTCGATCTTCCCACAACCAGCTTCGCCAGAGCCATTTCGTTGGGACTCGCTGTTGGAAAGAAAAATTACTTCGAGATGTTCTTCCAAAGACGTCGTTCCGCCCGAACGGCGGCATGCATTTTAACGCGTCGAGAATTTATACGGCATGGAAGAAACGGAAATTTGCAAAATTTCTGCCATGTGTCTCCCTTATAGAATTATGTATTACGTTTGTGCGAGACTGAGGTCCGTTTAGTGAAAGTACTTTTAAAAATGTATTTGATACACTCGATGTGTACAGCACGCATAAGACATATATTAAATATCGTATCTTCGTGATGCTTGAAGAAATCTTTCTCTTCAAAATGATATTTGATTTTTTCAGATTTTTCAATCACGATTTTTCAGATTGAGCGGATGCATGTAAGTGGAAATTCAGGGGCAAATGTGCGAACATAAGGCAAGTGAATCGAAAATTCCACGGTCGCAATTCATGTTACGTGACTGAGCGCAATATTTCATGGAAATTTCTCTAGGGATAGAAGCGAGGTGAAGATGGCGGCCAATGGTCAGAGAAATGATTCGTATGCTTTTGGAGCGTTGAATCTCGCCAGAGAGCATCGGCGATTAGGTGTAAAACCTTAGTGAAGTATGTAAAGTGGCGGAAATATATTCTTTAAGCGTCGTCATTATTCGTCATAGGAAAAAAATTTATTTAATATGGATACATCACTTAATAAATAATATTTAAATTAAATTTACATACTTACATAATTACGTAATATATATTGTTTGTAACATCATGTGTAATTTATTTATACTATTATGCATAAATTATTGAATCTTCATGAACTTTCATGTCCTAAATTATAATTGCATTGTTATATAATTATAAAAATTTATTATGTAAATTATAAAAGATAATTGTACAAATTTTGAATCCAGTTCCAATATTCATATGACAATTTAAATAAGCAAAAATTATGCTATAATTTCCACACGTTTCTCTTTCGCTGTCAAAAATGCCGCTGGTGCATATTTTAGAGCGCGATG